CTTAGCGGTGGGGCTTCTTCTGCGTGGCCATTCCTGAACATCTTGTTCATGAATGTCGCAAAATGCTCCTTCATCTCTGGTCGCTTCTGCAGTGTGCGTCGCAGTGATGCAAGACGAGACTGTGCAAGCTCCTTATTATTAGGAAGCCGAGGTCTTGGCACGCGGAAAGGAAGAGGGGCTACCCAACTGCATGACTCATCTTTGAAGACTTCATTGTCCATGATGTTTAGGAATTTTCTGTCCTCCACCGATGGAGCTGGTTGGTCATCGTCCTTTGTCGTCTGGAACAACGTGTCTGTCGTTTCTTCGACGGAGTAGTCTTTGATGGGTACACCTTGGGTAGGTGGTACATGCTGGGTTGGATTGATGGGATCAGTGAATTTCTCCTTGACGAGAAAATGGTTGCGGCATGGTTCAAAAAGGGAGGGTCGTCCATTTTCGAGCACATTTGTCTTGAAGTTGGTGACACAGTCCGGCTTGCGTGTGCGACCTAGGCAGACGTCTCCTATGATCACCCATCCTAGGTCTAGTCGTTGAGCGAAGGGCGCATCAGGAGGCCCATTGCACTGCTGACGCACCTTGTGGACTCTCAGGATGTCTCTTCCCAGTAGAAGCAGAATCTGAGCTTCCGTATCCAATGGCAGTATGAGGCTCTCTATAGCCTTTAGATGTGGGTGATGACGTGCAGCGTCGGGTGTCGGAATCTCGTTCCTGTTGTTGATCATCTGATTGCATTCAATTAGGGTTGGGAGAGATAGTTTCACGCTGCCATCAATATTTGCAACCAGAAACCCAGAGGCTCTCCTTCCTGTCGTTTCTGCTGTTCCAGCACATGTCTTGAGAGTATATGGCGAACTCTCTCCCTGGACATCAAAGAGGTTGAAGAATTCTGTCCTTGCCAGTGACCTATTGCTTTGGTCGTCCAAGATGGCATACATTCTCACAGCCTTTTGAGGTGTGCTTGAGTGACACACACTCACCAAACAAATCTTGGAACAGGACCTTCCACCGTAACCTTCCCCACACACCTCGGTGCACTTGGAAGATACGTCAGGTGATAGTCCGTGATGAATGGTGTCGTCTTCGGGATCCTGTCCGAGGCTCGAAGACAAAGGTTTGGAACTGTCCGGGTGAAGCGCTCTGGTATGTTCAGTGCTGTCACAGTCGTCACACTTGATCACAACTTTACAGTCCCTTGCGAGGTGGTTTGTAGAGGAGCAACACCTGAAGCAGATCCCAAATTGTTTCAGCAGAGACTTGCGTTCTTGCAGTGGTTTCTCTCTGAACACACGGCACTTTCGTAGAGGGTGAGGTTTCTTGTGAAGCGGGCACTGTCTGTTAGGGTCCTCCATCCTCTCGGCTGTGGCTGGCGAATAATGGTCGACGGCTCCTGGAGTAACGTCGGTCGCATGGACTGAAACGGGTGTGTTTCTGAAGCCTTCTCTTGACGTGACCTTCTCATTCTTTGGGAACCTCGGAAAGGTGCTTCCCGTTGTGCCGAAAGCAAAGCTCGGGTCGTTCCGCATCCTGGCCTGGTCTCGGACAAACTTCGAGAAGAAAGAGAAAGGGGGAAAAGAGACGTGATGATCTTCTTTGTACCTTGAGCCTTTCGAGATCCACATCTCTTGGAGACGGTGTGGCAACTTCTCTGCGATGGGGTTCACCCCTCTTGCCGTATCCAAATAGCCGAGTCCTGTCAAGTGGGGATCAGCTTTTGCGGCTTCCAGTTCCAGAAGCAGATCTCCCAGTTCCCGTAGTTTGTGAGTGTCTTTGTCGGAGAATTTAGGAAAGCTTCCGATCCTCTTGAAGAGCGCATCTTCTATTACTTCGGGTCGCCCGTAGCAGTCCTCCAGTCTTTCCCAGACTATCTCTAACCCCGCCGCGGGGTTGTCGACATGTACTGAACGCAGCCTCTTTGCATAGACCGAAGACTCACGGCCCAGCCAGTTCACGAGAAGATCTAACTCTTCATTTGCCGTAACTTCCAGAGTTTGCACCATACTTTTGAATGTGGCTTTCCATACTCTGTAATTCTCGGGGTGATCATCAAACTTGACGAGTCCTGTGCTGACCAAATCTCGACGGACCAGGTATTTCAGCACACCACTCAATTCTGGAGCAACCTGCTCAGCAGGCAGTTCGTTTGAGCCATCGTGGACGGCCGCCTGGTTGTGCACATAGTCTACAGTGCGCTGAGCACGGACTTCTGATACATCTGAGATGGTTCGGTCGGAGCGATGCTCCCCGCCGTGCTGTTCTGCAGCCGCTTGCAGGATTTCTGCTTGAACTTCCATAGCAGCCGCTTCCCTTTCCAGCTGTAGGATCTGTAACTCAGCGTCTAGTTCTGCTTTTCTGCGCTCGTTAGCCGCAGCCGCACTCTTCTCCTTTTCTTCGAGCCTTGCTCTTTCGAGTTTCATGGCCACTTCCTTTCTGGTGAAAGAAGCACGAGTGCGCGCCGCTGCAGCCTCGGCGCGTGCCCTCGTTGCAGCCGTGCTTGTCGTGGTCGCAATCGAGTGTTCCGAACGCGTCGACCCTCCAGAACGTCTCGAGCCGTGAAGTCGTGGCCCGGCAGACTTCGACGAGTGCTCCGAGTTAGCGTGTTCCGAGTCCCGAGACTTCGTGGCGCGGTCGGGCGTCTTTCCGGTGTCCATCAAGGCTTTCTGAACCGCGCGAGCTCTGTCGCGATCCGTTGTCTTCTGAAGGGCTAGCTCTAGCTGGCTTTGTTCCGCGTTGATCCCCGACAAGTAGGCCACGTAGCGTTCCGACAGCGCTTGGTAACGACCGTACTCTTTTCGGATACGGCCCGTCGCCGCTTGCTGCGTTTCGGCGTTTGTAGCCTGTTCAACTTCCCGAAGATCGTTTGCGATGCGCTCCCAGACGCAGTCGAGCTTTTGACGTTGCTCGTCCCGGTTCGCTTCGTAATTAAACAAGGCCTTCTGCGACAACGTTTTTTTTCTTCGCGGTCTCGAGTCTTGTGGCGGTTGATCCTTTATGGCGTTCTCACTCACGTGACCAGCCGCCGAGTCCCCGTCCGAAGGGTCCATCTCGTCCAAGCTTCCGTGGCGGCGTCCCGCGTTCGAGTTCGAGCTGAACCGAGGTGGCGAGGCCTAACGTTCCGACGCGCTCACTTGGCGTTCACCGTCTTTTACTGTTCTGATTCCATGGCGCGCCTTAGAGCGACCACTCCTCAGATAGCGAACGACTGGATGTCATAGAAAAACTGTACTTTTATATCCATAACAACCACCGTAAAAGACGGTGCTTCGTAGTAGCGCGTTACATGGTGATCCCAGATCGAATGAGTCCAAAACAAAAAAAGGAAGAAAAACACACACGGCACAGACTGATGCCAACGCGATGCGGCTAACCCTAGCAAGTCCAAACTCAACTAGATTGCAGTAACACCACAAGAACTATTCCCGCTGTGCGCCGAGTCGAGGCTACGCACGTTACGTGCTGAGTCGAGGTTAGACGGAAAAGGTGTTCTTTTCCGCGTAGTCGTCGCCATCTTGCGTGTTGCAGCGACAGCCGCGCCGTCTGGCGTACAGTTGTAGTAGTGCGCCCATTTTGGTATGCGGAGAGCAGCGTTGTTCCTAGCTCCCGCGTTGTCCCCATTGACCCCGTACATCGTATCTTCATTGTTTTCCCTTTAGTGAGTTCTTAATTTGTTTGTTATTGAAAGTGTGAATTATTCTTGTATTCTGGCGTGTTTATTCGCCTTCATGGCGCCCGTTGTTGCGCCAAGAGCGCCGAGAGGTTAGTTGCCAGCGTCGCCGGTAATCGAAGTCGGAGGTATGTTCACTTTTCCTGAGCACGTTTACCAGTGTTTACTCTTCGCGTGTTGTTGTTTGCGAAGAATGACAGCTTTCTGCGAATGACTAACGGAGGGTTTCTATGCGCGAGCGAGGGCGACCCTGGGGATAGAAGTATCATCGTTTAATCGTAGAAATACTCACAATGGGAGTTGGCGACGCGGGCCGAACGGCTTTTGTTATGGTGCACCGTCGAGGTACGATCGCCAGTTACCGGGACATCTCTACTTCGTATGACGCCCAGATGCGTCGGAACTATTCAGCAGATGGGGGTGAAAGGGGGGGGGGGGGGGGGGGGGAGGGTGACGACGATTTTGCGCCCTCTATTCGTATTGTTTCCATTAGCGTATTTTAACGGGCGTCGCTACCGAGCAACACACAAAATTATAGTGCACATCCTCGTAGGAATGAACGGAGTTAAAAACAAAACTTGAGTAGCCAATGACAATCATTACACCCAGGGTCTTACATTTGCACCACAAGCTGCAAAATTCGTTCTAAATTTGACTCGTCGAGGCCTATTACTGCACTTGTAGATGTCCGTTTCTATTCTGCCTATTTGCTTTTTTAATGTGCTGATATTGCATCGCTTCCCCGCTGATATCAGTGGGGAAGCGATGCAAAGTGTATACGTTACAGCCGCATTCGCTTTGCGATCTTCTTGTGCTCGGTGCACAATTTGTCGCGCGCTTTTTTCCGTTTTCGGAAATTGCTGCTGCAGCCAACGACTGCACATGTTGCAGCCCGATGGCCAAATATGCGCGGACATGATACATCGATGTATTAACCCACCTTATTACAATTCACTTCGCTGTCAAAAGCTTCAAAACCCATTTAACGCGCACCACTTCAGCATCTTGCCAGCCGGCTAGGCCTGCTCCCGCATACCGGAAGTGTTAGAACCGGAAGAACTATTCCCGCTGTGCGCCGAGTCGAGGCTACGCACGTTACGTGCTGGGTCGAGGTTAGACGGAAAAGGTGTATACCGAAGGTAGCACAACCTATTGTCCTGGGCTGGGAAAAGGTAGTTTTCTCCTAAAACACCTTTTATGTTGTGTCATCGGATCTTGCTTGTAAACAAATAATTATTATAGTATTACATGTTCCAAGTGGAACGCGTTTATTAACCCAATGTGTGCAAACAGCTATCAGACCCAGAAACCCCAAATCATTGGTCATCACCACAGCCCAGTTTCACCAAAGTTTATTAAATGCCCAGAAACCAAGAAAAAGCTGTACACATGCAAATGTTTTTGCTAATATCAATGCAATTGGTTAGAGGTCTGATGGCCCATGAAGATGTCATCTTGATCATAGTCATACCTGAAAGCGCCAATAGACCAATCTCACTAAGCGCTCTGACTAGGCGTGCCATGCATACATGCCGACGCCCTAACTGTAGTTCACCGGAGGCACCCAACAGTGCACAAGAAAGTTTATGCAATCTCGTGCCGACCCGCAGCAGAGTTGTCGTGTGGGCAGAATGACTACAGTTCCTACGATGCATGCCAGCAGTGGAAACTGGTTGGTGAAATCGGTCTATTCACACTGGCAACTGGTGCAAGCAAGATGCATGAAGAGGAAACAAAGCTATATACTGCAAGCATCAAGATAGAAAGTCAAGTTCCATTGCTCCGAACATTAAATGAAAGTGGCAGGACTAAAAAGCTTGTTTCAAAAAACACTCAGTAACTGCATTATGAGAGCAACATGTCTGTAAAAAACAATAACTTCAAAACCAATTCATCTGAAATTTGGCAATTCGAAAGCGCAGTTCATCCAAGTAAAATTTTTAGTATTTCAGTAAAACAGGACCCATGCTAAGAAACACGATTTTGCAGCCTTCACAGAAAATATCACGAAAGAAAATGCACAGTAAAAAGAAAATATTGGTGTTTTACCTTTAAATGTGCAATGTCAGAATCCTTTTAGCATGGTTCGAAGTCTCCCAGAAAATATATATGCAAGAATACAAAGGGAACTATATTCTCTGTAAGCCTATGTAAGTTAAAAATTACACAAAAATATTCTTATGCCCTTCACAAATGTAAAACAACACAAAGAGCGATATGAAAGCGACAACCAGAATTTGGGTTTGAGTAACTAAAACAAAGGTCAGAACAAGACCTTAAATTAAGCTCAATGCATCAAGCTTATGGAGATAGCTGTTGCCCTCATGTGTTAGTACACCATATGGCACTCAGGATAACCATAGAGTTGCACTTAGAGCAAGTGAACGTTTAACAGGAATAACAAACAAAAATAACTAACCTTGTGCAACTTATATTTGTTGAACAAATATTGCACACAGATTATTACTTCAAATGCTAGCTTTTGTATGCAAAATATTAGTTGGACTAAACCATGACACCAAACACTGGGAATGTCTAATCCCACACTGAAAAAAAAAAGTAAGAAACATAACACCTGTGGGTTTAAGAGATCTTACACATAGGGACTCATGCAAATTATGTTTTTATGCAATGGGAGTCTTGCACAGCCTTGCAAATGTGAGAAAACAAATAAACATGCTTTACAATTCAGGTAATACAACACAATGCAGAGCAATGTTTACATGTCAAGCAAAAGTAACAAACATTTTTTGAGTTGGTGCAGATTGAGGGGCATCTGGAATGATTATTCTCCTCACAAGCTTCTGCAGTTCCCACAATGGCACACCTTTACATGTGGTTTCTCTTCCGGTGCATGTTCAGAGTCACTTTCTGCGAGAACGCCCTTCCACAGGTCTCGCACTGGTACGGCCGCTCTCCCGTGTGAACCCTCTCGTGACGCCTCAGGTGCGACTGCCTCGAAAATGCCCTCCCGCACATGCCGCACACAAAAGGCTTTTCTCCCGTGTGTATCCTCTCGTGATCCTCCAAAGCGTTCCTCTGCGTAAACGTCTGCTGGCAGACTGGGCACACGAACGGCCTTTCGCCCGTGTGCAGCCTTTCGTGCCTCAGCAAGTTTGCCTTTTGCGAAAACGCCTTCCTGCAGAAGCGGCAGCTGAAGGGCTTCTCCCCAGTGTGAGTCCTTTCGTGATCGGTGACGTGCGTCGCTTTATGGCTCTCGAAGGAGCAATAACGGCACTGATACCGGTCTCGCTGGCTCGTTCGGTGGTGTTGCACATTCAATCCGTCCACTTGAGAGAGGTCGCCCTTGTTGTCAATGCTCTCCTGTTTGTCTCCCAAGTCTGCACGGGTGACGGGAAAAATGTAGACCAGATTAAGGGGAAAGAACAATTTACCGCTTGATTAGAGCAACTAAAAAAATGTGCCTCTATAGGCAATGAAAGAGTGAGAACGGTAGGGCATGCCTAACGCCCAGCATTCAGCATGTGCTCGACGTTGTCCATCGTGCTTTGTCTGTGCGTGAGCTCTCAAGGTGCACGACAGGAGTGTTATCGAAGGCAGGAAGCTCATAATGGAGGCAGGACAACTGAAGCCCCTCCCTGCCGTGCTCGCCTTGTCAGCGACTAGAGGATTGTTTCAATTAAAAGTTGCAATGCATAAAGACATTTTTTACTTGGTACAACGAAATATGATTCATGAAATCCTAAAATTTGGAGCATTATTAGGATTAAGTTATCAGCTTGAATTTGCAACTTCGACGATGTGACTCACATTATGGGGAATTGTAGCCTAGCGAATTCCAGGGCTGGGCAGTATCACGATAGAGATGAATTGCGATAGTATCTTAGAGATCCTTTCGAGTACCTGTATCTCTGTATCGAAATACAATTGAAAAATGTATTTGTATCTCAGTAGTGAAATACATTTACAATATATCACTTGTACTGTGATACTTTGCCTGACTTAGGTATCCCGTTACATTTGTCACCGCTTTTCGCAATACATTTAAAATATAGAAACATTTGTTTGGTGCGAGTTGTTCCAGAATTTATAATAAAATCTGCTTTACAACATGATCAAACTCATTCACCAACATAAAAGAAAAACAGTGGTTTAAAGAAGGTTACGGAAAAGAATAACAAAATCAGCTCCTCACACAAAGCCTTCCACTTTTTCCGATTTAGCAGAGCGAATGCTGTAAAGAAGTTGAGTGGAAAAAAGTACAGCCCTGTTGTCCAATCTTCCCACACTATGGGTGACTCAGAAGCTTACAAGGCAACAATTTGAGATGCGCCCTCATAGCAAAACAGGGTTAATTCCAGGCAGACTGCGTTAGAGACTATGTACCATGCTTGACATGGTACGCAGTCTTTAATGTTCTGTAACAATGTGGTTCAACAGAGGTGACATGTTTTTTTAGCGGCCTTGATGATAAATAAAGAGTTTGAGGTAAGGGGTAGAGCATAAAATGGAGCAAAAAGAGGAGCGCAAGCGTAAATGACCATTCACATTTGCCACAAACTACTCTCACCACCTGGCACCGTTCGGGAACAAATGTATAGGTATCTGTACCATTGTTCCAGAATACTTTTTCGCCATTTTTGCAGAAGTATTTCAGGGATATCCCGTTGCATAAAAGACAAATGTATCTCAGTATCTGTACTTGGGCCTTAAAACACATGTATCTCAGTACATCTATTCTCGAATACTTTTTGGAGTATCTCTGCTTAGCTCTGGCAAATTGGCAATATTTTTGGTCACAATGTTGATACATTAATTTACAGGATGCTAGAAAATCGGCTGAAAACTATACCAATGAGGCTGCTTGCTAGAGTGAACATTCTTAAATGTTTCAAATATTGGCTGCTTCCTAGGTGATGATACTAAAATGCTTTCGATTTCCTCAAATTCTGATAAACCAAGACGCACATTCATGCGGTAGACTTGGAGGTTTTCTGGCGACCCTGGCATTGCTGTCGGCTGTTCCTTGAAGTGCTAGAATTACTATGAAGTGTTTTTTAATGCCCTACAAGATTTGAGCAGAGCATCATTGTCTCTGCTTCTATTAGTAGCAGTGTGGTTAGTTACCCTATAGAGACTTGATTGTAGTCAATTTAGGTCACCTTTTAGAGCAGCCAGAAAATCAATTTGGCGCAGCAAAAAAAACGTTTTAAAGCGCAAGTGTCCCTCATACTCCCCCTGCAAATATGATGCTAAAGTTCATGTTTCGCCATGTGCAACTAAAAGACGACGCCTTTCCTGCCTCCCCCTTCTGAGCCACCCATCTTTAGCATCAATTGCACATCTACTTTGATTCCCTTAAAATCTCAACTAGCTGTTCTAGCTGCGCTTCAAGGCCTAAGGCTGATCGCAACAGCTGCATTTGAAACATCAGTGATGGAAGAGGCATTTGACCTAAATATTGGTTTGGGGCAGCTACTGACACTTTTGGAGCAGATGCCAACATGTGATAGCAGATCACTTAAAAATTAAAAGAGAGTGCATCACCAAATAAGTTCATCTCTTATAATGATTAATGGTACTCCTTTGATACTGGAGCATATTACTTATTACCTTTTGTAATAAGAATTGACAGTGTGCAAAAGGAACACAGCCTTCTTTTTAGAAATGAGGCTCTGGTCAGAATAACTTCCCTTTACAACGGGCATTAAAAAAATGGCAGATAATGACTCTTGGTGCAACACTTCACTTGGGATAAAACCTCTCTCCCTTTCCTCATCACACTTGTTAGTTTATTTAGCCTGTAAATGTGAGTAAAATGCCAGTGAAAACAAGCAGACCTGCTAAAATGTGTATCAATAAAAATGAATCCCCCAAGTTAAATGAAGCTAGAAAAAAACAACCGCCCAGAAATATTATGAAGGCCGAGACTGGTGCTTTAAAGGTGACACTGCTCTTTCGACTGCCAGCTGCCCAGAAACTGTATTGACTACCGCAATCATTCTAATACAGACCCGTGTACAGTTTCTCTCTTTCTCAGCACAGCTTTTTTAAAATTAGAGATCAACTTGCATTGAAGATCAAAGGTGGTCAACTTGTAATAATTAATAATACTGGGCATAATTTCCGTCCCAATCGCGTTATCCAGGCGCTCCCCCCTAGTTAGCTGCTGCTTCTAAAACTCCGGTGCAAAGCGGTGAAGATTGACGCAAGCGTGCAGGAGAAAGGCAGCAAAAGTTGAAGCGGGCGGCACAAGTGCCATGATACGCTGTAGCCGCAGCACAGAGGCATGCGACAAGCACGATAATTGAGCGATTTCATTTGAAACACAAGGCACTGATTGTCTTATCACAGTAGCCGCCATCCTACAATTTTACAAAGCTTTCTCGAGACTTTCAACTCCCGACGTCACTGACGTTGGGAAGTTTAGAATGTTGGCGATCGACGGTCCAGAACATCAACCGGCCAGTTCCACCTTAAGCTAAAGCGCAGCGGAGGCTATAGTCCATTGCAACTCAAGAAGGTAGGGTGAGGGAGAGGAAGGCCGGGGAGGAGGAAGCAGATGAAACGCTGGAGAGAGGAGGTTTTCCCCTTTCTCCTCCAGCATCCCGTCTGCTTCCTCCTCCCCGGCCTCCCTTTCCCTTGCCCTACCTCTTTCAGCTGTAACTTTCTCTAGGTGACAGTGAGACCAATCAAACAGCATCAAATTGCGACATCACAGCATTCATCACCTTCTTGTACGTATTCTTGCATCTGCCAAACCAAGTTCTTGCATCTGCCATACCAATCAAGTGCAACAAATGTACCGTTACTTGCACTTTTAGTATGTGTTTTCCTTGTTGTACAATTTCAAGACTGCGACTCTGCTCTGACCTAGGTGAAACAAACTATAAGGTGAGTAGATGCGTTGTGAAATACATATTTGTACCATTTTCCTTTCATCTACTCGTCTGAATATTAAAATCGATGAATTATAAACTATTCCTGATTTTTGCTTTGTTTAAGCCTCTTTTGATGCACGTGTGGTGCAATTCTTAACGCAAAAAGGCATTTTGGCACAAGATATAACAGACTTTTGTTCATAAAGGACATGAGATGAACATCTGTGAATGGTTATTTTAAGCATAGAGTCAAGCCAAATAGTTTCCACTGAAACAATGTTGAAATATAATCAATTTGAGAACCGGGTTGAATCCTTTATTCAAGTTTAAGACAGGTGTAAAACAAATTCTCATTTTAGTTAAAAGTAACAACTGTGATATAGTTGAGTGTAACTCGCACTTACACGTTGCATTATCAGAACGCAAAAAAAATCCGGGCAATAAACTAGCCTACTCAACAAAATTAAACCAAACTCACTATCAACATTAAATGTGGTAAGTGAATGACACATAAGTGTCTTTCCTCGAGAGTGTATGTTAAAAAAATTATAAATCCATTTTCACATTTTTAAATGCAAGCTGAGGCGTCCACGAATGTTGACATTAGTGCAGAGGGTTATGGAAATCATAAAAGCAATTCTTTGCTAGAAGGCAAAGAAACACATTGCATTTCATGCATTTCACTCTAGTTTTTCTCTTGCAGTTCTTGTTCCTGCATCGCATAGCGTAGAGAAGTTTGGCACATTCAGGAAAATGACCGAAGCCATCTTTCCGGGTGCTCAGATTCGGTACTTGGATTGGTCTTGTTTTCCCTGCATGTGGGATATTTTCCTCTGGCTCAGCGTGTGCTGTAGGGCACGAAAAAAGAAAATGTTTCCAGCAGTTACAACTTTTGTTCACAGGCATGGACACCACACTTAGAGCCAGATTATTTCTTAAATCAATGTAATCTCGCATTCACACAACCATATTCACCAGATGTGACTCTACCATGCTGCAGGTTAAGAAAAGGTGGAAAGCTCCTCTCACAAAACCCTCCCTTCCTTCCACTTCAGCAGAACTAACACTGGAGAGATGAGTACCTCCTCGCCTCCTCTCCAGCATTCTCTCAGCTAAAGTGGAAGAGTAGAGGGTTTTGCGGGAGGAGCTTTTCTTAACCTGCAATAGGGTGTAGCACCTGTTTAACCGCCGACTAACTACGTCATCGACTAAATCACGTGGTGGGCGGTAATCACTGCTAAGTAGTCGGTATTCACCGACAGTGTTTAGGGCTTGGTCAGCCCGAGTGACTTAGAAGGTGGCTATAAACCTTAGTCGAGGATTAGGGATAGTTTAGCCAGTGTTCAGAGGGTGACTAGCGCCTCAACGCCATGGCCGACTCCGATCGTTGTTGACCGCCAGCACTAGCGAAGCACTCGTTGTATTGAAACACTGGGGGACACATCTAGAAAGAATCGTAGCACCAAATATTGTGGGAATAGGCATGTTTACAGGTCAGATCTGTCGCTGAAACTATCTTGGTCGGTGGACGGGCGCTTCCACATGTTTACGTCGCTGGCAATGCATCTTCCGTTATATCTCCCTTACGTTTTTAAAAAGTTAATTTTAAAACTATCTACTGGACAATGAGCCTCTCATTTTAATACTGTAAAACCTTTATTTTTGCGGCCCCTGTTTTCGCAAATCGGTCACGGAAGACATCATTGCAACCACTAGGTTTTGTGAAATCCAAATGCCTGTATTAAAACCCTTAAGGATCGAAATTTTCGCATGCCCTTGAATTTCGCAAAATTTTTCAATTAGCGAAAATGAAGGGCTTGCAAACATTAAGGGTTTTATAGTATTTTCTTTCTGTGAATTGATATCCGAATATTTTTTACGCGATAAAATCTCCAGTCACAGAGCGGTATTTGATTTACGCACATGCGGGAGCTATATCTTTTCGTGTCTCGTCTGCTTCTTAGTGCCGACTGGTCACCAACTTGCTTTGTGCTCGTGAATACTGCCGAGCCTAGTTGCTCCTCTGTAGCCAATTCCTTGTTCAGCTTGCGAATACTCAGATGCGCTACCAACTTTAAAACAGTGCTAATTGTTGAAGCTGTTGAATACGGCTGAGCATGTTTAAGCGGCTCCTCGAAATGCGGACACCTTGCACCATTTCATAGGGGAACACGAAACGCAATGTTCTCATATGGAGACAGATGTTTTGACCTGAGATAAATACTTCACTAAGAAGTTATGGCGTACCTTGACACATTCATGAACGTGGATGCGGGTAGCATAGAGGAGAGGGCTATTTTTAAACTTTTTGTATCTTTAGAAAATTCTTGAACATCCATGAAGCTCTATTTTCATTTGTTTGTAGATACCCAATGTGTCCACCTTTTCGTTCTTGCAGAGTGCTTTTCCCCTCAGCACACAACTGTGGTGAAGCGACCAACGCAGAATTACAATGTCTAGTGCAAGGCTGTTGCTTTTCTAGAGTGCACCACCATGCTATGACAAGTGCACTCAACAGACCTAGCTATAGCTAATACTGAAAAGGCTTAAAAACTTTTTTTTTTCAAATTATTATTGTTACATAAAAAGAAGACCCAATGTACTCCAGCATTATCAAGCCTATTAAGCAAATTTCTGCAAGGAACGGTTAAATTAACATTGATTTTGATGTACTCGGGACTACGTCAAAATGCAAAATCTTGCACACTTTCATCTGAATTTTGTCGGCAATGGAGGTGGAGGATTAGACACACTATACCCATAATAGATTTGTCAGTCTATAAGAAAAAGAAACAGTATGGCTAGAGGGCAAGGAAGGAAATAAAAGGAAAAACAAGTGCTTGTAGATCTGTCGCCTTAAACACATGAGCCAACCATTCCCAACTAGCACTGTTCCACTGTTCAATACAGTCAAACCCACTTATAACAAACACGATAGTTCCGCGAAAAGTGGTTGTTTTATTAGTAGTTCGTTATATCTGAACTTACCTATAAAACATGTCATAAATAAGGCTAATGAAGCTGGTATTGGTAGTTGCACTCTGCCAGCTCTTTATTTAAGGAAACTATTTGCACGATTCTAACGCACAGGCATATTTAGCTTTCAGAGAATGAAAAAGTAAATTGCTGCTGATTCCACTGCGCAAGTAAAATAATGAAGATTGACCACATACCTTATAGAACAGATTTTATGGAACGCACGCCAACACAAAAGTAAATGCCGTGCACTAGTCCGACGATGGTTCTTCACTTTCCACAATTTTAATTAATACTTGCTTTGGTCTAAAGCCTTTCAAGTGCCGCGCTTCCTGCGCATGTAGTACGAGTGCGCGGTCGTCGCTTCTGGCAGGGCCGTCTTTTAAACAACACTTCCAGAGCTCGTAGGGTGGCTGGGATTGCGAGGCCACGCAGTGCTGCTCCGTTGTTATCTTTTCCCGCCAGCATGATGCCCTTTTGTTTAAATAAAGCCTCTTAGTGGATTCTTTTTCCCCATCTTAAAGACAGACACGAGTCCGTAGACGCCAGAGAATGTGCTTGATACAGATACCAAAATGGCGAACGTAAACCAACAGTCACGATGGTGATGGGGCTAGATATTTTACACCGAGCATCGAGTTACAGAGTTTGCGAACATAGAACGAACCACTGATCTCAGTGACAATTGCTAGATCGCACTTCCCGCTCCCACAAGTAAAGCCACCGGAGGGCCATCTTGCTCGGGTAGGATTTGTGGTTTTGCTAGCGTTTCGCTGTGGTTTTCCAGCGTGCTGTAGACACGTTTTATACTTGTTCGTCGTCATTCGCCGAAGAAGATTTTTAAGACTTTGTGTACCGTTGAGACTTGCCATTGTGAACACGTGAAGAATGTTACGAAAGCGTAGTGCAGCAGGAAAAAGCCACCACTCATCAAAAGCAAGTTTCGCCGGTGTCGCGGCGGGATCAAAGCTTCCTTGACACGCCGAGTGCTGCATCTTAGTGCTTTTGCACGCTCGGATACCAATCAAGAATCGACGCCGCACCAAAGTTCTGAAGGTGTGTCGCGCGTAGATGTCTCTAGATCATATATATATATCGGCCATGGAGTTCTGGATCGTCCAGCTGTTTCGGTGAGTTGCTATCAATAAAGGGGGAAGGGGGGGGGGGGGTGATCTGTACGTCTTCTTATGTACTATTAACCATGGCTATGTTCCAAATCTACTCTAATAGATTAAGTGGGAGCACGAATAGAGCAACGCTGTGGAGCAAGGAGGGTTTTCGAAAGCAAAAGTGCAAGACGGCGAAAATGAAAAACTTTGAAGCGCGGCCGATATGGTCGTGTGCAATTAGGCGAGCAGCGCTCAAACGTCAAGTGCAATTAAGTAGGTTGATAATGAGCCAGCACTGATCAGCGATGACGAAAAATAGACGCACCTTCCCCCCATCTTCCGTCGCTAGTGGAGGCTGGATTAAGCTCGTTCCTAAACCGCGAGGGCCGCAAGTATACAGACGTCAGAGTAAAGTAAGACACTGATCCAGAGGCAGATACGGCTTCACGCACATTGCACTCGCAAAACACATTCACACAGCATCGATTCTTGGTCTGTACCCAAGCGTGCGAAGACACAGACACGGCACTACGGTGTGCCAAGGAAGCTTTGAACGTGCCGCCAGATTGGCGAAACTTGCTTTTGACGAGTTGTGCCTTTTTCCTGCGAACTTTTTTTTTTGCTAAAATGAATTGGCAAAAGGGTACTGATTGTCAATGGATGCTGTAAAGTATGCACATGTGTCTGCTTTTCTTTATATTTGCACTTTTAACATCCCTACCAACCTGCTTTTGCCTCACAAATAGCACTTTGTTCAAAATAAAATAAATAAAAATAACTTTGGCAAACATAGAGAAAGGGGGCATCTGTCCTCCCGCAGTGGGTGCCCCATCATGTAAAGCCCTGTCCAAACAGGATAAGAGCAAAAATCGTGAGCCGACAAGACTCCTTCAGAAATCATGGAAATTAAAGCGTCCAGCAGTTCCGATGTCTGTTTCGATATCGGCCAAGTGAACATTACTATTTTCCTCCTCGCTTCCTCCACTTTTCGGTGACCCAAGTTTTCGTCAGACTTGACACCACCCTCCTACACCAATGCTTTGAGTTTCATACTCCGAGCGCAGCAACTATATAGAGCATAGCGTACAGGAGAACGACACACCGAAACTATCGATGAGCCACATCAGCCACGTCCAAACGCAAGGTTCTGATGAACTTGGCATCTCATGGATACAGGTGGCATAAGCCGAAATTATTCCGAAGATAATTTAATTAAGGCTTCTGTAAAACGACTGAGTGTAAATTAAATGAAAAAAAAAACAGTGACGTTAGGAAGTTTTTACGCATGTTGTATTATTTGGAAAGTTACCTTGATTGATCGATTTAAATGAAAGACAACATTATTGAGCCCGCTTGTCGACGCAGGAAATTGTCAAACTTGTCAGATGCTCCGTCGTTCCGTCTTGATGCGCAAGATGGAACTCGTCGACATGCTACGCCGATACCGATACACTACCATTCAATAAATAGCACGCAAATTCCTTGGCAGGCGAGATGCACAAACAAACCTTTTCCGCAACGCAAACTGATGTTTCGGCTTTCCGATCGAAGTATCTATATTTGCTGGGCAAAGCATTCCAAAAAGGGCAGTGGTTCGAATGTCTTCTCATCTCTCCAACTTTTCTGTCGCTGTGCTATCGGCAAGCTACCGTTTTATAGATGAATCCGTTTTAAGGCGAGATTCACAAACAAACCTTTTTTGGAACGCTAGTTGATGTTATGGCTTTCAAATCAAACCGTTTCTACCTGCTGGATTAAGCCCTATTCAACTAAAAGGGGCGGCAGTCCGGGAGTGCCCTTTGTCTTGACAACGTTTCTGTCAGCGCAGCCATCTTGTTTGTGGACGTGACGTCACAGAGCGCGAAGAAGTCACTCGCGCTCCGAGAAATACTTGGTGCCAAAGAGAGCGCTCGAGTGACAGTATCCGGCGGCGCTCCCACCCTTTTGGTTAAGGGGGGACACTACCCAAAAAAGTGAATTTTTGAACCACTTGTCTGATTTAAATGATATTTACAGGGCTTGTTTCTGTTGATGTTAAGAACATTTCTGCCAAATTTTGTTAACCTGGGTGAAGTAAAAAAGAAATTGCAAATCTTTAAAGATGAAAGTGGGCGTGTCTGCGTAGGAAAACTATAGTTTTGAAAATACTCATAAATTTGTCGTTTTTATGAGTTAAATTGTTTAAGGACAGTCCAGAGCAGATAGCTATGGAGCTATATTTCTATATTATACCATATTTCATGACAAAAAAGCCACACAAACTCAAATACTGTTTTTTTTCGATTTCCATTCTTTGTCCTAAATTTTCATTCTTGAGCATGAAAAATGACAAAAATAAAAAAATACAAGCTCATAGCTATCTTCCCCTTTAAATTTCACCCTAGAAGAACTCATAAAAATTAATCCAAATTACGTAATAACAAAACAATAGTTTTCCTAAAGTGAAATTTATGCCAAAAACGGAGAACAATGTGTTCAAAGTGTTCCAACCGCTGCCTTTTCTTTAGCATCGGAGGACCGAAAATAATTTATAAAAAATCAGCTATGCAGTGTAAACTAATAAAACTTTCTGAGAATACTCTCTAGGTGTTGGTGGATGTAGATACAACATTTTTTAAAATCAACTTTTTTTGCCGAAACTGTTTTTCTGGGTAATGTCCTCCCTTAACGGAGCGCCACTCTCTCGCGCTCCGGAGCATGGACTTAACGCGCCCAATGCTGTCTATCTGTTCTGCCGGGCCCTCGAACCCTTGGTCGTGTTCCAAAATTTACTCCATCTCACTCCAGGGTAAGCGTTTTGTACCTTCGCGTTCAAAGCCCTAACCACGTCCAGCGTCGCTCTATTCGTGTTATCATGTGACACAACCAGCCGGAGTAGCTCAAACCTAATTGGGTAAGATTTCGAACAAAGCCCTTCCCTTTCCCGTTATCGGGACCTGAAGAGTGGCGGAGACCTTAAGCGATTGACCGACAGCCAACAGAGCTTGTTAGTGGCTGTCTGGACCCACGTAATGAGCATGTTCAAGAACCCTGTGAAAGGAATGGGTGACCTTTGACAAAACACACTTTTCTCCCAGCAAAAAAAAAAAAAATGTACAGAAGCGGAGTGTTGCACGACTCATGTCGGAGTTGTATTTCCTCACGATTTATGTAGTATCCTGTTTGGACAGGCCTTAACCTGTCTTAGCACAAAAGAGCTTACCCGTGCTGTCTTCACGGCATGCACTCTCCTTTTTGATGTCCGATGCTCTTGTGACCATCCCTGGGGAGGACACACAAAATCAGTCAACTGATTTTTTTTTCAATAGTTTCTCTAGAATCAGACAACTTCCAAAAAGGCGCCAAGATGGGGATCGGACGCCGACACTTAACCCAAAGTCTATGCTACGGTAACAAAGCCAGCCGTTAATTCAATGACCGAATACACATAAACCACCATGCACATTATTTTGACGTAACATTTGTACTCAGTGAAATAAAAATTCAGGCTCTATGCAGATGACTGTGAAGTCTCTTCCGAAGTTTGAGAAATAGCAGACTGTTGGGCATTACAAGATGAAATCTCCCGTATCTCAGCCTGGTGCGACGCGTGAGGCATGAAGTTAAACATAAATAAATGTAATCACGTATGTTTTACGTGCAAGCATCAGCCTGTCCTCATTACATATGACATCAGCGGAAATTCTTTGGCGGTAGTATCAGATGTAAAATACCTTTGCGTATATTTTTAAGAAAACCTTACTTGGACAAAACACGTGGAATACATAACCACAAAACCGGCTCGGATACATAACCTTATTAAAAGAAACTTCAGAGATTGCCCTATGAACATTAAAAGCACATTATATGTTACATATATTAGCCCTATCTTAGAATACGCAAGTGTTTCTTGGGACCCCAGCCAGGCCTACCTTGTGAACCAACTAGAAAGTACAAAACAGAGACTAGGTTTAAGCAAGTAATTACAACTTTAGATTGAGTACGAGCACGATAAAAGAAGAGCCGAATTTAATCTCATTAGCCCACAGAAGGAGGTCAGTGCCATTAAAATTGTATCATACCATCTTTCATAATCACCTCGGCATAAATAAAGCTAACTATATGCTGCCACCCCGCTTCACATCAGGAAGGAGAGACCACTCAAAAAATTGAGAGTACCAGTCTAGAACCAATGTATTTGAAACCTCTTTCTTTCCATCTAAAACGACCGACTGGATCCCTGCCGAAAGACACAATCAACATCCCAACTACAACTTTGTTCTTCGATAATATCTTAAATGCTGACTTTTTAGACTTATGCGAGTGTTCTCATGCTGGTGCCACTGTTCAATTGAGTACCATGTAATTACTATGAATCTGTGTTGCACGCTCATGTTATCGTGCCTCGTGCTTTTGTACACTGGCAGGCGCACTTGCGTACGCTGGCAGGCGCACTCGCGTACGGGTTTTAACCTTTCTGCACAGCCGTGCACGCCACCCAGGATCAGATTTTTGTATGCAAATAAATATTATTATTATCATTATTATTATCCCTTCCTCGCAATAATGCCTTCTTAAGCGCTGCGAGGTAACCTGAATAAATAAATAAACAAATAAAAACAGAGACATTTTGAGGACACCCTCATATGCGCTACCCAGGGGTGAAACAACATGATGCGCAAGTAATGCTTGCTCCCAAACTAAAGTGGGGCCATGTCTGAAGTATGCACTGCACACTACATCATGTTTCTCTTAATAGTGTTAGAACGAGCTGTCTCATATATGGATGCAATGGGGAAGCACTCAAGTGCCCAATTCCAATCTGTTGCTAGTTGAGGGCACAAGTGGGATAAAGACAAAAAGAAATGCACCGCACAAAGCCCTGCAACTGCAGTAGTCCAGCAGAAGTGCTGCTGCAGCTTCGGACAGGAATGCATCATGCGACTTTTTAAAGCAGCAACTCCACCAATGAGAACTCACATTTACAAATCACTCGATGGAAGCAACACTGTTTTCAGTAAAAAGGTTGCAGTAAAAATACACAAATCCTTGCACACTCCAAAAAATAACCCAGGGCAAAATATAATAGAAACACAATTGCACCACAGTGGCTTCTCCTACAGCAACAATATGGTAGTGAATCGAATTGAGTAGCTTGTCTTCAGATACGGTTAGAGAAACAAAGCATGCTGGCTGCATGACATCAATCGCAACAATGAGGTGCCCAGTTGTAACCAATACAGCTGCATTTGTGCTCAGAGATACGTTGCTTCAAGAACTCGTGCTGTGCAGAATTGACTTGGCTGCTAGGGGGGGCCCTTTCAGGACATCAATGCGGTATCCAGCACATCTTCTTTGGAGCGTTCACTGAAGTGTTGGACCTGCAGGATTAAAGGCAGAGATGAGCTCTTGCCCCCAGAAATGCAATTTCTAACTAGTAGCACAAGGGGTTTGTCACCGAGGAATATTTTGGCAACTGTGCACATTTCAGTTGTTACAGTCACTGGAAAACTAAGAATTGTCTAGCGGGGCGAGTCCTAGCATCTTATTTTCACTCCACAGCAAAAGGAACTATGGCATCAGCTGGCAAGGATGATGACCACAATGCACAGCATAACATAAGCCATTGGTTCTCAAATGAGGGTCCGCAGACCCTTTGGGGTCCGCGAAAGCTCCGCGAAGCTCTGCCTCATCAGTCACGCCTGGCAATAAAAGTTGTCTTTTTTCAGGTCCAGAAGAAATGCTTCAATTTTCGCGCGAGTTCTCTCGTGTGAACGTCAATAAGAGAGGTCTACTTCACACTAGCCCTTAGTTATATCCATTTATTAAATCAACATTATTTTTAGCCTATACCTTTCCTCTCCTCTCACCACGAATAGGGTCCTCCATCATCTCCGCCGATCCCACAAGGGGTCCGCGAAACGTCAATGGCTGAGGACCACTGACATAAGCCATGCATTACATTTCTCATTGGAGGCCATTAATCAAGAAGTTCGACTTTTTAAACCCTAGCTGAAATGAATCAATATTAACAATGTCTACTGCTAGGCATAATAAAAGATTTTCTGCACACTATATTTGTGAAGAAAATTATGACAGTTCCTATCGAAGAAAAAAGCAAAATGTCTGGGATATGTGGCTCTGAAAACGATTTGGTAAAATGTAATTTAACCAACATTGTTCCGCAAAATCGGTTAAATTTCATGCCTGCTGTGTCCTCGAGTCTCAGTATTTTGATTAATAACATCAGTAAAGTGAAAAAACAATTCAGCAATCGCATTCCTCATTAAATTTCAGTCAAGAAAAGCAAAGAATTAACCTTTTAGTCTTATCATGAAATGGAACTAACTACAATGAAATTCATACTAAGGAAATGGAACGAAGAATAATGCATTGCACTGAAACACTGAAAATAAATAATAGAAAGTGAACTATGCAACAGAAATGGATGAAACAGTGTGCAAATATCCTTCAGATATTGGTGGACCTAAATAAAAGCATTGTTCAGAATCAATGTTTTTTTTAGCAAAAAATTATCTCTCTAGGCCATGTCCCCCCTGAACTGTCAGTGTGAAGCTAACATTAGTGTCATTTACAGCTTGCTCCTGGTTGCATCCTGTAACAAAAACAAGAGCATGAGATGATTCATTTCACTGGACACTAGTCAATGGATGCTGCTGACAGCGCAACTTCCCAACCGATCTTGTCACTGCTCTTCTCGACTGCAGATTTTTCCAACCCAGAAAACATTTTTTTAAAGCAGAGCATTCCAGGTGGGGACGTTTACAGCATGCTAAAACCACGAACGAAAACAAAAACCGAAGAGATAGTAGGTATCCTATCCAGATACTTTCATGAAACACCAGATCAAATTTTGCTGGGGGACTCAAAGTTAGAAGGTTGATGAGTCAAGCTGATGAAGTCATGGGATCAGATTTCTACAATTCCACCCAGAACACTGCAAAAGGCATGAAAGAAAACAAAACATTAATGACAAGGTGCATCTAGAGCTTCGTGCTCACAGTGGAGTACAACTTCTGAATGCAGCTCTGATGCATACATGTCACTTATTTGTTGAGATCATCAAGGACCCTCGGATTGTCAAATCTGCTGGATTCATAGCTCGCTTACAAAGACTGATGCTTGTTGTGGAACCAATGGCTCTTCTAGCAAGAACCATGCATGGAATAATCAACTACACCACATATGATTAAGGAACATCAGGCATAGAAACACTTGAGCCTCATAGGAGACTGTAGCACGACAAGATTGATAGAATTAAAGCAGGGAAATTCTAGCTCGGATGACGAACTATTTAGCTCAAACTGGCTAAATGCAAAGAACATGCATTTGATATAGATAAGCTCCATGAAGTACCTTCCAAACGGAAGGCCGTGTTGGTTCGTAAGACAATAAAAGAATATGCTAGACATTTAGAAATCACAACTTGCTGGAGGAAAGCATGGTATAAACATTTCACGTTCTGAATGTTCTTCCACGGTGAAATGCTGCTTACCATACTAGTCTCGTGATTAAAGCATCCTGGCAGACCATCCCTACCACAAGAGAAAAGGGACTTTACTGAACTAAAATATTATATTTCACAAGTCCTACTAAAAACGCGCAAAACTTTTTCATGTGTTCCAAAATTGTTTGGTGCTGGCATTTGGCTCGTACTATCTATTCACTACAACAATATCCAAAAATTTAAAATCTTTGAAATGACTCTAAGAAAGCCTGTAAGTATGATGTGCAATAAAAAATTTCAGAGGCTGATTTAATATTGTAACAAGGGCAGCACGGTGATGTGGGTGCAGCAGTCGAAGGCAGACGCCTTCACATTATGCCAAACGGTATAATCACTCTTGAAGAATGGAAGAACATTGCTGGAAGACAAAAAGAGGTAGGGGAACTTTGCCCGACCTCTCCTTTATTCTTTATTCAGAGAACTCCTGCAGCGCCTAGAAGGCATTAATTTAGGGGGCGAATAATAACGAAAAGAATGTCTCAGCATTTGCAGCACAAACTATACATTCCTGTAAAGCGCTCCAGTCCTTGACCGTCCTCACAAAAAACGAATTTTCGCACAGCTCCGTCCTAGCAGAGTATAAGCGTACCTTGTGCACATGATCATTATGTTTGGAAAAATAATTTGGTTTTAAGGGGTATGATGAGCTATTAATACTAGTAGCTTCATGATAAATGTTGTATAAAAATTTCAACCGTAAATTTTTTCGCCAAAGGTCCAATGACGCCCATCCTAGTGATTGTTTAATGTTAGTTACACTAGAAAAACTGTCGTACTGGCCCAGGACGAAGCCTGCGGCACGATTTTGTATTTTTTCCAAGCCATCCATGCAATTTTTTTTGGAAGGGTCCCACACAGTGCATGCGTAATCTAGAAGCGACCTTACATAGGCAAGATATGCTAGTTCTTTTATTTTTTGTGTAGCGTTTTTTAGGTTTCTTTGGACAAAGCCCAGTGCACGACCCGCCCTCATAATGACATCATCAATCTGCGAATCCCACCTGCGGTCGCATGACAAAATGACTCCGAGGTATTTTATTTTATTCTCATTCGTTACTAGCTCATTGCTTAAATAATACTGTGTGTCAAATTTGTTTGACAAATTTGACACACAGTATTATCCCTTGTTTTCCAGCGATGTTCTGCAGTTTTTGAAGTAGGAGTGCCACTCGAAACACTCCAAACAATTCACTGCTTCTTGACATAGGCCTCCAGAATCATTTCAAAAGTCTGTTTTGGATTCGGCGAGTTCGACACAATTAATGTTGTCGCTCGCCGAATACCGAATTCAGGTAGATTTTCTAGGATAGATGCTTGTGCATACCGACGGCTCGGTACTTCATAGCCACAAATCATCCACTGCAGCAGTTTTTATACCGGAACTAAAAATGGCCAAATCAAGGAAACTGAGCTTTCACGCTACATCTACCACTGCCGAACTCGCCCCGCTTTGGCTAGGCCTTGACATCCTCGACAGTATCCCTCACTGTGGAAAAGCAGTGCTCCTCACAGATTCCAGAATAGCTTTTGCAACTTCTCGGTAGCCTTGAAGACGCCCCACAATATGCCAGATACATTGGACACATGACAAGAAACTTAGGGTCTAAAGGATGGCATATAGCATACCAATGACTGCCATCACACGTCGGTATCTCGGGCAATGAGACAGCCGATCGTCTCGCTAATGCAGCTCACCACATTAATGTACTAACACTTTCATACCAAAGTGTAAGAGGCCAGACTTATTATTCACGAAGAAATAGAGAAACTACATCCGGACACGCACGTCTTTACCGGGAAGCCACCCGCACGCGTGCCTCCAGAGCTGTCCCGAGCCTCCGCTTCTCTACTGCACAGACTTCGCACTGGTTGTGCCTTTACTGCGAAAGCCCCTCACCGTATGGACCCAACAATAAACCCAAACTGTCCATACTGTGATGTTCCCGAGGACCACGACCATCTCCTCTGGACCTGCCCTACTCTAGCGGACAAAAGACAATTGTTTCTCAACGGCCTGCGGCAAGCTGGCGTAGCAAGTGCTACAACACAGGACATTCTTTTTCCCCCAGGTTCTGCACGCGATGTCTCAAGAACATTCACCGCACTTCTCAAGTTCTTCGAGGACACCAGTTTATTGGACCGCCTCTAGCCTCGGTGTCTGACATACACTGGGCGATGGCAACACACCAACAATCGAGTCACAAGAACTGCTGACCAATCGTTCCTTTTTTTTCTTTTTTTTATTCTTTCTTCCCGATCCCTTTTCATCCCATTTTTCCCTCTTTTCTTTTCAACCCATTCCTTTTCTTTATCTTTAACTTTTTTCTAATCTCTCCTTTCATCCCCTTCCCTTCCCCGAAACTAACTTGCCCCCACTAAAGGAGTCGCCAACATGTTCCGGCTTTCCGCTACCCTCACCACTAAGTACTACTACAATCGCTTTGGTTTGCAGTCTACGGTGAAATTGCCATCGTGGTTGTAAAACTCGCGTAGCGTAGCTCCGAATGATCACAGAACAATGTCCTTTGGCATAATGGCAGAGAATGGTTCTTGACTTTGACAGCTACACGCGCGACACCGTGCTGCCCTCTCTTTTTACGCTACAAAATCAGTCTCGCAACTTTTTTGATTTCACCTCGTAACAGTCCCTTTGCCTGGCGAATTCCGAGTGATTGGAGACTCAAAGCTTCGAGCAGTTAGTCTCAGTGGCCAAATGTGGTGCAACCGCACTCAATGCCATAGAATACAGCAAACAGAGCTGCTCTGTCCACTGGTAGCCCCGCCTCCACCACCACTGCTGCTGCGTTGCCGTTCTCCATGTCACCGCCGACCAGTGCCTCGCCAACTCTGCAGTCTTCGAAAAGCCGTCCTGGATAAACAGCACGAAATTACTGCTAGCCTAGAAGGTAATCGACTGACATACCCATTCCGTTGTATAATAAAGAAGTACTAGGGTACAGTGCTCAACGAAACAAAACGAGCCGGCGCAGCATGTGGAATTGTAAGAGTAACCACGTATAATTTTCTTGAGGAGCGTATGCAGTTACCCAAATGTATACAGCCAGCATATGCAGGAACTCTAGCCTAGTGTTTTCCGCCATCTGGTTAAACAAGTAATCACTCGAGTCACTGTACCTGCACGCGCTCGGTTTACGTGCTCCATGGTCTCTTTCGTTTTGTTGAGCACTGTACCTCGAACATGTATCCTACTGGCGTGTTTGCCGTGTCCTCAAATGTGGTCCCTCAATTTCCACCTAATGACGACGTAGAAATGCCCCAGCATTACCCGACGCAAACCTAGCAGTGGCACAACATAGGTGGATACGGCAGATGGCTGTTATGCTGCGGCTCACTCCCAGTTTGACAGTCCCCCGAAGCTTCTGCAGCAACGAGTTCGGACTGCACAACAACAGCAACACTGGCATTCGCTCGTGTTTTGTACCGTATCCTCTTCGACCAGCTGCCAGGATCCAACAACACTACCGCTGGCTTCTGCGACGTCACTAATGCCACTTCAGGACTACATTCCATGCACGGGCGGTAGAGGAGGGGGAACATATGAGTCAAAGACGCGTAGCAGGCACCCTGATGTATCTCTTGTGGGCAGCACTAGGTGGCACAGCAGACGTTCCGCCCCGTGTTTAGGGTGTCCCGCTTCGATGAAGCAGCATTCAGAAAAATGGCGAGAAGTTACGCCGCCAACCTGGAGCTAGCAAGTCACTCTCTATACTTCTCTCGTAACGAGCTTTCATTGCCGCATTCTTTCCCAAAGAGGCCAAAGTAAAGAGAAACCGCGCTTATTATTGCCATCCTAAAGTCTTACAAGACACGTCAACTTACAGTTTACCGGCCTTTCGACGTGCCTTCTCCGATTTTATCCCTTTCGCATGTTTAATCAAACATGGGAACCAGTTCCGGCGAAAGTCATTTGCGGTTCAGAAGGTTTGACTACATTTGTTTACGCTTGGGAACGCAACCAACAAACAAAACGCTGTGTTTACCTTGTCCCAAAAAGCGGTCCCTTGATTTCTGCCTGATGATCCCAGAAGTGTCATGACGCCGCCGGCCACGTTCCTGGCAGCGTCACAGCGGTTGTGGTGGATTTGGCAGATGCCTGTTCCGCTGCAGGTCCCTCTCCGTTGCGACGGCCCATGGAAGCTTCGGCAGCCAGAAGTTGGGAGGCTGCGACGACAGAGACACTCGCGTTCGCTCATTCTCTTTGCCGGCACTTCTAGTGCCAACCGCCAGGACCGCGACGTCTGACGGCATGACCTTCCAGCTTCCGTGACGCCATTTGCTGCCACTTCGGGACCACTTTTGGTGTGTGGTCAGCATAGGACGCTAAACAGCAGACGACGCGGGAGTGATGATGATGATTGGGGTTTTATGGCGCAAGAGCAACTAACACCATATTGCGCCAAACAAAGGTTTTTCCAAGGAGCTTAGATCTGTAATCTAAAACAACTGCAAGCTACAGCTGGTGTAAAAGGCCAGTGTTATGGAGGAACTTTAAAACTCTATCGAATGGTATAAATGGTTGATCGCCAAGCAGAAAATATGGATGAAAGGAAAGGTGATCTCGAAAGAGTTCTGGAAAACATGGTCGGCGCTCCTGGTTTAAAGCTTTGCAATGCCACAGGATGTGCAAAACAGTTATAGCTTTCCCCCAGTTGTCGCAAAGTTTAACATCCTCACCACAGAGCAGGTGCAAATGAGTCAAACGGGTATGACCAATTCTTAAGCGGCAAAAGAGAACCTCAACCCGACGGACTTTATGGAACGAACTCTCCCATACTCCCAGTTGGGGCTTGATATTGTGAAGCTTGTTCTCTTTTTCCAAATCCCAATCCAACTGCCATCATTTGATAAGCGATTTCTGCATGATCGGTTTCAGGTCTTGGTGCGGCAGGCCAAGAGGCAGTTTTGGGCATTCCTTTGCAGAGGCAGCAAGCAAGTCTGCCTTCTCATTGCCAGAAATGCCCACGTGGCTCGGGACCCAACGGAATTTGATCTCGTGTCCTAGTTGGAGTGCTCGGTTTAGTCGTACCCGAAGACATTGCACGAGAAGGTTCTTGCTGTCTGCTGAGGACGAAACGGCTAGAAGAACGCTCTAGGAGTCAACAAACAGAATTGCTTTTATAATACTGTTCCCTAATAAGTATTCAATAGCCATTAAAATACCGTACAATTCAGCAGTAAAAATATTTGCGTAAGCGTGGAGTTGTCAAACTTTGCTGAAGGTAGTGGAGTAAACCGCACACCCCACGAAAGTTGATGTTTTTGATCCATCAGTGTAAAAGTGTGAGTAGTCCTTGTATCTCTGTTCCAATTCGGCGAACTCCCGCTGAAAAACGAGTGAAGAAGTAGCTCTCTTTCAGTACTTGGCCAGTGACCAGTCACAAGAGATTGGCAGAAGGTCTCAAGGTGCAACTCTCTCATTGCTCCTCAGCAAAGCAGCCTCACTAAAGGGGAGATGGAGCGACGTTGCCATGCTCTGTTCTCTGAAACGCAGGGGCCGAACAATGCTCGGCTTGTTTTCATAGAGGACGACGCGGGAGGCTGGTGTGCTTAGGTACTGGCCTCGCACTTTGTAAAGGAATGTACCGAAGGCAAAAGGCCACGGCACCAGGTACTGTTGCGCAGCAAAGTGCCACAGTCGTAAGCGGCTTAAAACGGGGTTTTAAGCCGCTTACGACTGCGCTGCTGTACGGCGCAGTCGTAAGACTTAAAAAGGGTTTCGTCGGACTCGGTCATAGATGGATGCAACAGTGAGAACTAGCCTTTAGACACTAGAACATTCCTGGATCAACCTATTAGAGCGTGTTGGCAATGTCAGATGTATAAAAGGAAAGCAACATAAACAAGATTAGGACAGGACACGTCGCAAAGGTAAATAACTGAAAATTCGTGGCTGCAATTCAAAATTACATTATTCACAGAGAGACAAGTAATATTGCAGATGTTTTCCCGACACAACGATTCTAGATGTATCAAATCTAACTGCGCCTAAACAGCACACAAAACAAAAATGAAAGCCGTTTACAATCCCATGTAACGCCAAATGAGAGTGCACCTCTTGAGGAGGAGGAAAGAAGGATACTGAGGGGAGAAGGTGGAAAGTCCTCCACTTCTAACAATGGTGCGGATTGACGTGTGCTTAACGCAAGTCACAGAAAATGCACACCTTAGGTGAGAGTATCACGTGTAAATTTGGCGGCAATTTAGCAGGGCAATTTTTCCCCTAACTTTAGCAGGGATTTTTCCCACTAGATTTAGCGGGAAAAATTTTCCGCTAAATGTTAGCGGGGAATTTTTTCAACTAAATTTAGAAGGGGGAAGTTTCTCTGCCAGATTTAGCGAGGAAATTTTTTCCGCTAAATTTAACGTCATCGTCATCGTCACTGATGACGTCATCAGTGATGTCACATGTGACGTCATCGCGCAATTACGCCGACGGTGACGCCGCTCAAGCCGGAAACGGGCGCCTAAGAGCTGCGCTCTAAACAATTCCGCAAGAAACTTTTGTAGTCGCTCGCAACTGTGTTCAATATTACCACTCGGAGGTAACATAACAAGTTAAAAAGACGACACTTTGGCGCAAAAAAACGTTGATCGGCGAACACCTTTTACTCGTAAAAGTGATGAGTGGGTTACTGACGTATGTACATGATTTAGAATTCTACCGCTTTGACAGCAGTGGTACATGTGTGCAAACACAACAAGGTGCTGTGGCATGTAATAAAAGTTATTAATTTTGTTGTTCGTCCCGCTCAAACTACCTAGGACAAATGAGCGGTAATTGTATTAGCGTCCCAATTTATTCTTTTTTTATACAGCTTGACCGAGTGTTACAACCTGCCTGTGCATGCCTCGTTGTTGAATTCATTTGTTAAAATTAAAACAGTCACGGCACTCTTCCAGCAGCCGATAACTCCGACCTTCTAAGAGCACTCACCCGAGTTCAAGCAGTGTGTGCGACATCGCAGCTGTGCGCAAAAAGACAACTTAAGCAATACCGCATCCTCATCTTTGCCTGAATAGCTCGGACTTTCAAAAGCGAGCAAAACCATAAAGAAAATCAGCATTTATCTTGAGGCGGATGAAATGGGCGCCGCTGTCTTGCGCTTGCGAACACACTTCACCGTCGACAACTGTTCTTATGCCTGGATTACCTCCACCCCAGAGACCTAGCACGTAGGCAAGCTTTCTTTCGCCTCCCTAAAAAACGATCGCAGCTTTTCAACCGAAAAAGAGTCGCAATGTTGCAATGCAGTGCTCGTCATTGCAACTGGCAGCGCGACGGGACGAGCGAAAGCTGGATTCAAACGAATTTGCGCGACTAGTATGACTGGTATTAAAGCCCCTCAATGTATTTGCATCTGTCTTGCAAGTAGCGTCAAATGGGCCAGTACACGGGGCCAGTCTCTCGAGGGCCAGGCGCCCACAAATGCCTGTGAAGCAAACATCGACAAGTGCTGTAGCAGCATCTGCTTTCGTCTAACAGACGAAAAGGAGAGAGTGTTTTTGCAACCTGGAATTCTGTAGCGCAGGGTAGGCAGGGTAGGTGCGGTGTTTCAGAGTACCCCTGCTATGTGGCACTGGGGGTACGGAACGGTCATGGCTGCCGTGTTACAGCCAGTACAATAATGCCAGGAACGCGTCTCCGTGACTATAGTCGGATGCAACCTGAGAACAATCTTTTAGCTCCACCCACAAGCGCATTGCGCCCATCTGAAGTGCCTCCGCCGTCAAGAAAGTAGTTCGCTAGCAACGTTGCTTTTTCTTCCTCCAGGAAACGTGTCTTAAACTACTACAATATTTAATTCATTCAGGACATTTAAATAAGTTAGAATATGTTTTTGTCAACGAAATAGCTGTTTAGTAAAGAAAGAAAGTCATGTCCAATGTACCGTCTTCCCAATTCATTTTCTGTCCAAGATACTGTCTAACATACCGTCTAACATACCTCTCAGCAGTGCTAAGCCTCGCGCCCGCTTCGAAATTTTCGTTGGCGATAGCGTCGCTGGATTCTCACGTTGTCGCGCAAAAACTGCTGCAAACGCAAGCCGATACCATTAAGATTTCGTGGCGTAACCTCGGGCACGCAAAACACGGTGCAAAAAAGCAGAACAATTGTCACGAGAAACTAGCGTCGCGTTGCTAAGGCCAGCAGTCATGTTGAGCTTTTTTTTTTTCAAAAGGATCGCGATTGGTCTACGGAATTGTGGCGTCATGAAAACGATTGACTGGCGTTTCTCGGCGTAGGATTACATTTTCCTGAGAGGCATTTCTGTTTTTTTCTTAGCTTGCAACCGACTATAATATGTTAACTAAGAAACTGCTTGTAAGACGCTGCTTGCACAAGCAGTAGTACCCCCCTTTCTCACCACCGCATGCCTCCCATCGTTCGACGCGCCAGACGGCCGCCATGGCAACTGCAGTGTATTACATGGAATACATATGCTTCAAAGCACAGCGTCTAGATGGCGTTCCACCACACTTTATGGAACACACAGTTTTGAAGCAAACATAGATAGTCCAGTGCAACTCTATACTTTGTTTCAGTTTCCGTCTGAGCGCAGCCAAAGGCTGAGGGACGATTTGAAACTTTGAGAAGAGCATTCCTATGCACAACAAAGTAGTCCGCAAAAGTTTTTTTTTTTTTTTTTTTTTAAATAACTGTTTTGTGCATAAACATTTAACAATATTTCAGATGTGTACTGCTGAGAATGATGTGCAGCTAAAGGAATTAAATATCGGAAGTTTATGTTTTTTATTAATATATGTAAACGCATGTGGTTTGATGAAAACACATACATCCGCTGGCAACACGGCTGCAGCGCTCAGTGTTTTCGTGTGATTTCGTTCCCGTAATGGCCGAATCATGTGCTTCGCTGCTTTTCTCACCGAGTCGCTTCAAACTGTCCTTTCGCAAAGGCACGTTTGGGCGTCAGGCGCGAGAGGTCGTGATGAATGTTTAGTTTCAAATTCGACAGGAGACTCCAGCCGCGTCTCACCGCGAATGCGTTGTAGACGAGAAGAGCGTCCGGGCCAGTACAATTCACTGATACGTGGCGAAATAAGGGCACCCATTTACCTGCCGATCACATTGAACGCCGAGAAGCTGGCGGAAAAGACTGCACCTCGAGCCCTGGTATATCCAGACAATACAAGGAAGCATC